TGGGCAGGGCTGTGATTGACGCAACTGCGCAAGCACCTTTTCAGCCTTTCAGCCTTCACTGAGTTTCTTGGAGAAGCCTCTATGTTTCAAGGAATTCATCCAAGCAAACCTGGAGTTTTTTGAAGAGGGAAAAGCATACCTGACATGGATTCAGAGTAGCGAGTAGAGTTTTTAAGAGAGACGTCCAGCATTAGGAAAGGTTTACTGGTTTCTGCCTGGGCAGGATTCAGGAAAAGCAGCCGGAGGCCCTAACAAATTAATGCTGATTTCTAAAACCAACAGACCAAGAAATACCTCACTTCAGAAAACTGTTGCTTGCTTTAAGATGAAGTTCAGTTCAGAGATTTTGTTCTATAGAGTGTACTTTATAGAAAGCAGACAATGTGAATGTACGTAATGCATACAAACATACAATGTCTGGACTGGCAGTATTGTCTATCTAATGTTCATACACAATTATCCTCTCCCTTCCCTATTCTGGGAATCTTACTGTTTATGGAGTAATTTTCACAGCATGATGAGACCTTCTTTGTAGGAAAACACTTTTAGTTCTTTTGTTTACTTTAGAATAATTTTAAGGTCAAGAAACAGTTTTGCATACAGTTTCTAAGAAACATAATTGGATTTACAGTCATCACCGATCTCATAAAACAAAACTTTATAGTTAAGATGCCACCTGGGAACTATATACAAAGACTATTCTAGAAGCATGAGAAATCCAGATTTATATGAACTTACATATTTTATGTTTTGTTAAAAAATACATTTTTCACACTTTTTTATTATAACCATAACTCAAAATGAGAACACACAAAATTTGGGAGCACTGGAAACATCTGTGCACCAAGTTACCATTAATATTAACAATCCTCAAAAGTCCACCAGCAAAAGCAGTGTATCCAATTGAAGAGTTAAATTCATATAGCTACCCATTTGTCCTCTTTAACTGAAAGAAATACAGAAAATGAATTGTCTAAACATGTATAATCTCTTGTTTGAGATCTGGCAGCAAATGGGAAAAAAACTTAGAAAACTGAAGCACTTGTGATACATCATAAGAACTCCTTGCAAGAAGCTTACAACACAGTTTAATATCTACACAATCTCTTTAATAAATGGAATTTCCACTGATTATTTACAGATTTCAGTGCTGTTATCATCTCGTCCACTCTTTCTAAGAGACTCTGCTTATGTAAATAAGGATTAGTTGACAAATTAATTATGGTAAAAGAAAAATGATTGTTAAACTTGGTATGTCATCTAGAGAATCTTTGCTGCCTTCTACTCGCAGATGCTAAGGCAGTTTTGATTAGGACCTTGGATATTCCCAAAAGGTCTTTTCTGGAGTTTGCTGTATGTGGTAGAGAGATCCAAACTAACTTCAGAAACATTGAGATGGGTGCCAGAGGAGTAACATAAAATAATAGGCATTTCCAAGGAAGGTGTAATAATTGAACAAAACAAGGTGTCCAGCTCTACACAATGTTCCTGTATCACATGAATTATCAGATCTTTTCCACGTGGGAAACCTTTGTTCTCTAAACAGTCACTTTCCCCTTAAAGACAGTCAATCAGATGCCATGTGGTTGAGAGTCGCTATTGATTTCAACAGGAAATAGGAACAGAGTTTTGGGGGTGAACAGAGCTACTCCTGTCCAGTTGTCGCCCACTACTATTTAGAGGCATTTCAATGGCCTAATCAGAAAGTCAAGGTGTTAAGTTAATTCCACATTGGAAGAGGCAGTACAGTTGTGGGTTGCTGTGGTCTTGCAACAAGACACAAAGCTACATTTTTCAAGGTTGCACACTTCGATGATTAAGCCAAAAATCCTTGCATATTTTGGCTCCGCTTTAGGTGTACCTACAGACTTTCCTGTTGGGATCTATTGGACTGAAGTGACCTGTGCAAGGAAGTCCAGCGAGAAGGAGTGCAGGAGTGTATAAGGGTCCTACTGTGCTATATACATGTAATCACTGCAGGTACCCGCTGCAGGAACTGCCTGGTATCTCAACGGGTGCTGTATCTGATTAAGGACACAATCAGGACTACACTTCATTAGTAAAGGCTTCCTCAAATTGTTGATGGAAAATCAGTTACCACCATTCATACACATGACAGTGACATGAATGTGCTGTTTGAGATGGGTTCTTACGTGGCTGTCAGGAGGGCAGTAGTCAATGATGCTCTCACATGTGCATGATTAAGAGACACGTCTAGACTTTGTGAAAAGCATTTTCTATGGAAGTAGTTAGCAGAACTACAAATATATTTTCTATCAAAAAAATTTAAGTGATTAATCTGTATTTTAGAGGTGCAATCTATTTAAACCTGGTGTAATTGAAATAGGATTTTTTAAAATTCGTTTTGAATGTTTTTGAAAAGTCATGTTTTCAAAGTGTGTTCTGATCCCAACAACTCTGGTGTGGATCAGACAACTGGTGAAAAGCTCTTCAGATTGACATTCAGTTTATACAATAAAAGGCATAAATATGACTAAAAAATATGACTTAAGTATGTCATTCTTGATTGATACGTGTGTTTAACCTTCAAAGGTGGAGATTCCTTGGGGAATATATTCCAGTGCTGTATTAGCGTTACTACTAGCTTCCCAAAAAGTTAACATGATTCTTCCTTGCTGTAATTTAAGCCTGTTAGTTTTACTATTGTCTGCCACTCACGTGAAGTACAAATGATTCCTCTTCTCATTCCAGAGCTCTATGTGTGTCTAAAGACTGCTATCCTCTTCACAGAATGCTTTTTCTTCTTCAGGTTAAACTTGAAGTCCTTTTCATCTTTTCTCATAAGCCGCATCTTCCTGTACTCCAGTTACCATCGTTGCTTCTCTAGACTGCATAGTGGCCCACATCTTCAGGGGAAGACATGGAACGTATTGTCCAAAACTGGGAGAAGTGCTTCAGCTGAAACAATGCCAGCGCTAAGTGAAGCGGAGAGATTAAATCGTGCAGTCATAGACCATCCTCCTTCCCATACCCTCCAGTTTGCGGGAACTCTTCTGGGAGAGGGATTCTCTGGATTCCCACACAGTAAACAGGGTCAAGAATCTGGAATTATTTAATGTCCCTTGAAATTGAAAACGAATCATGTAACACTGCCTTGCTATAACTTGGTGTCCTTTTCAGCAGATTACTTGGTGTGCAATTAGTGCCATCTGGAGGTTAGGAAACGTGGAGCTCTATATGCTTTCATGCTGAAAAACAAATTTATAAATGAAATGTTCTTACATGAATAGGAGTTTGAACCTGACAGATAGTGGAAATCTGCCACTCAGTATAGAGTCTGTGACCCATAGCAAGAGTTGAGGCTGCTCAGTGTGTGTCAGATAAGGCATGCAAGTGTAATGACTTTCCAGTATTACACAATCACCAATAAATATGTAGCCTCTGAGTGGCCTATGCAGTTTTTGGAAGCAGCTCTGGACAACACAGGGACAAGGAAAGATTTGATCTGCTCTCTCCTCTCCCTCTTTGAGATGGTTGAAGACAAGCCAGTTCCTGGTGCAGTTTTGTGCCTGCAAGAGACAGCAGAAAGCATTTTAGCTGAACCAGAAGATGTCTTTTTTAAAGAGTAGGTTCCTATTTGGTGTGTCTGAGCAGAGTTGTCCACCACAATTCATGTCTGCACAGAGTGGAATCAGTCCTCCTCACCAGGGCTGGTTGCATGATGTGGTCTTCCTTCTTCTCTCGGTAGCTTAGCTGTCATCTTGAAAGCCTTAATCCTCCAGTTCTCACTGCGTTGAGGAAGCCAAGATGAGAACTGTTTGGTGGCGTGACATCAGTGAATGGGATTTGGCTCTTCTTTCTACGTGTCTTTTGTTGGTTTTTTTTCCAGACACCACTTGGATGTTGACAGCAATCACACCGTTCCATACCACCTCTTGTGCTTTTGAACTGCCTTCTGCTATTGAAGTCTAATCATAAAAACAAATAGCCTTAGTTGCAAAGCGTAAGTACACACATCTCCACCTCAGTCTGGTAGGACATTGCAGCCTGTTGTATCAAGGCAATGCTAATGGATTCTATGTTGATCTCCACATAGGGCTGAGCACGGTGCTAGAGAAGCTACATACAGTTCGAAAGGTAGATATTGTATGTATGTGCACTGTCCATGCTCTGCTGATTTCTACAGAACAACAAAGTTTGCGTAATGAAGATACACTAGTGAACAGATTTTAGATTGTGTCAATTTAGCTGGATGATGGTTTCCCTGGGAAACCACAGATTTTAGGAACTATGAACCTGTTACATTCAAGGTTGATGATCCTATGAGTGTAAGACAGGTTGCTGAGCCAATGCGCCTTCAGAGCAAAATGTGAAAGCCTGCTTCCTTGTCAATGAGTTTCCATCAGCTAAACCAGAAAAAAAGAGTAAGAGAGGGGAATTTGAGAGCAGAAAATCTGAAGAAAGAAAAATGAAAACTAGTGTGAAAAAAATCAGGTCTCCCTCCCTCAGCAGGGCGGGGTGAAAAAGGGCGGAACGCATCTCACGTGGCTTAAATTTTATTCTTCAGAGCAAGCTTAAACATGCAGATGACAGGCTGACAAATCCTTGGCTGACTACATGAAATGCAGCAAGCTGCTGGCTTTCAGAATTGAAAGTATGTCATTTATGTTGAGATTCATCTGAGCGGGTCTGCATTAATTGCTTGTTTTCAGAGGATAAAACTTCAGGAAGAAATTGCCTTTTGGCTGTAATCTTGTTCTTTCTGATGTTACTGGCAACCTTACTGTAGACTTGCAAGGGAAGATGGATGAGATCTGTAGTGCTAAATCTCTGCATATGGCCCAGTCACCCCAAATACAAAGAGGATTGTCTCCCTGCAGCATTGTTGGACAATATCCATCTTTGCTCTTGAAAGAAAATCCATGGTAGACAGCAGTATTAGTCTCTCTGAGAAAAAGACTGAGGATTTTTTTACACGCTGTGGAGTCTGTTGGCTAGAAACATCCAACTTGCTTTGTTACTGTTATTTTACTGAAGCACTAGGAAGGCTGGAGCTCACCCTCAAGTTTCCTCTTTCGTGCTCCACTGCTGAAGAAGTAATCCATGTTTACCAGCGCCCTGCCAAGTTCAGTATTCATTCGACTGCCAATCGTCTGGTTGGTGGAGTTGGGAACTTTGCTTGAAAACACAGACATATAGTTTGGCAGTGGCTTCTGCTCCTTTTTCTTACCCTGGATAAAGATAAAACAAAGACCATTAATAAGTTTTCAGAATTGCATCCATTGCTTGTTACCGAAATACAAGGTAGTGAGATTATTTATAACATCAGCACTATTGCTTTTGAAATTAGAATTTGAATGTACTCTAAAATGTCATACTGAATGTACATGGAAGTGTTGAAAAATAAAGTAAAATGATTGTTTTTTCCTGTTGTCTTTTGTGGGATAGGATAACATAGGGAAATGGATAATTTTCAAATGTGGTGCATAAAGTGTCAGCTAGGACAGAAGTTAGTCTGCTCTAGAATGGTCGTGATATGGGAGGTTTTTTGTTTCTTTTTTAGTGGCTTGGATTTCAGCATGATGACATTATCTTACAAATTTTCTCCTGGAAAGTTGGTTTTTCTAGTACTTGTCTTCCTATGGAGTTGTTAATATTGAAACAGATTGAACACATACATGTGATGTATTTCTTTGTGGCATAGGTAGCAGATGAAATGCACTTCAGTTCTCTTTTATTTTTCCTAAAGATTTTAATCTTAAAGCAATTGCTGATTATGCCAAAGTGTGCATCAATTTGAAATATTAGCCTAGCTCAAATTGATGAAAAATAAAAAGAGCCTGGATTAGAGTTGAATGTTTGTTCAAAACTTACCATTTGGTCATAGTCCTTCAGGAAACTCCAGTTCTGGTACCTTGGAATACAAGTAAAAAATGCAGTGTAAAATTTTCTGTTGTTAAATAAAATATTAATGTTGGACATATTTGAATGCCTATTTAATTCATCAGTTTGATACTTGCAGCCCAGCTCTTACACCTGCAAACTCTTTGTACTGAAACCTGCCTTTTCTGGGCTGAAGCCCAGGGTTTTCCATATTCCTATATAGAGCCCATAGTACATGAGGAGTGGCTTGTGTTTTTTTTTCCAAAGGAACATGAGGATAACATGTCCACAATGTATTCCTTATGCATATGCAGATAAATTAGCAAAGTCCTGAGTCACTCTAGCAAACTTCTGTCCCATGCCTCGAGCTTCTTATTTTTCAAATGGCCATAATTCTGCTGGCAGAAGTCCCCGGTAGGAATTCCCAAAGCCATACTTGCTGCAAGCAAACACCCACGGGAGTATTTTGTGCAGAGAGGCAGCTGTGCTAGGAGCAAATTGCGTCAGAAGACCTGACTTTTGCTCTTCAGCTCTGTTCTACACCTGGTGTGGGACTACAGGGCAGGCCCTTTGGTTTTCTGTCCTTGGCTGAAATGTCCTGGCCTGAAATGGAGAAGACGAAAGTTCACCCACTACTGTAAGAGTGCTGTGAGGTCCAGAGAGGAAACCGTTATCTGCAGCTGTGTTTGCATCAGGGCTCAAGGGACGCCTGGGTTGACTCTCTGAGCTGGTTACCTGTGTCTGTGCAGTGCTGCATCTAAGCTCATCGATCTAGTGCTGAAGCTGGACGTTCTTCTGAGCTGAGCTCGTCTGCGCAGCACAGCCATGCACCATGTGGAACGAGGAGCACTGGACTTCTGTGCTGCACTCCCTCGTCCAGTGCAGATACGCCCTGAGTGCAAGTAAAAACTAATTTATTCTTGTTGGGTTTATCACTATATGTCTTGGTATACCAGCACAGCATAGAGTCCTAACATTTTTTATCTCACTATGCCAGCCATTATTTGAACGTATCAGATTTGGGTGTCACTGGATGGTGCTAATTACTGAGAAAAACTTGGGTCTCCAAGCACCCGTATCCATGACTGTGAACCCCAGGGGGCAGGCACAGAGAGAGAGCCCCTCATGCTGCCTTAGCTAGGGAATGGGTATGGAACATAATAGGTGCATTTGGGAAGAATCTGAGTGCACATTGCCACCATGGCCTTGTCTTTGCGTGAGTGAGAGTCCTGGCATCAGCCTTTCCCTCAGGTAAAAGGAGCCAGACGAGTGCAAATAAATCTCTGGGGAAATCAGAGCTTTGATTTGTAGCTCCTCCAGAAGGCTGAGGAGGACAGGGGTCTTCAGATTGTTTCTTTTCTCATTCTAAAAAATCCTGAGAGTGATGTCCTCCTTTCTCCTCCCTTCCCTTTAGCTTAGCTAGTGCACAGTCGGAACTGGACCTGATTTTACTTTTGCCATGGATATTCTTCTAATAGGCATGCTCATGCCATGTACTGAAGTATGAACACTTATTCAAGATATGTGGCAGAGACAAAAAGAATTTTAATTTCAGGTTCCTTCAGGTCACTGGTGTACACACAGTCAAAGCTTGTGTTGTATGTGTGCAGTTCAGTCTGAAACACTCTAACAATGGGGCACGTTCAGGAGATTTACAGATTGGGAATACAAAATCATATTTTGGCTGAACACTCTGTTCAGCTTCCATTTCAGCCATTTCCAAGAATATGAGAAGAGGTGATAATATCAGTGTGTCTGCAATAAATTATAAAGGTTGGCACATTTATATCTTCATTGTGGAAATCTCTGTAAAGCTACAAGATACTTAGCATGCAATTCTTTGCATCTCTTTTCAGCTTAAGCCCAGCATGCTAAGAGATAGTAGCATAGATTTTGTACAGTGAAGGAAAGTAGAGATTATATTATCTTGGAAAGAAAGGAGTTAGGATCTGATCCAAAGTCACTGCAGAAGAAAATTTCCTTTGATAGTGGAGGCTTTGGATCAAGCCCTAAGACTGTCAGGGAGCATCAGTACCATTGTCAGGATGAGTAGAAGAGGCATAAGCTGGAACAAGTGACTTACCAGATTTTTCTTCCTCTCTGTTCAGCCTCCACAGACTCTCTCCAGATCTTATCCTGTTGAACTTGGTCCTGCTGCAGTGCTGCCTGCTTGTCTGCCCAGGCCCGAGTAGCCGGTTGTGCAACGACAGGTCTTCTGGGTTGGGTGCTGCCGAGAGACACAGATGGAGCTGAGGCTGGTTGCCCCAGAGGTGTGGTTGCTGGTTGCCAAGACCTAACCAAGGTATTTCTGCTGAATCCAGAACCCTTTCCCAACTTGCCCATTTTAAGACTCACTGTATCCCCAGTATTGTTAGCTATATTGTGACTATTAGGAAAGTTAAACCTGCTTTTGTTTGCGTTTTCAACGCTCCTTCTCTCCTGACATTTTCTTTTAGCTGCCAATTTGGAGCGCGTTCAGAAACCAAACGTGCGTGCGTGGTAGCACTGACAGGCAGTGCTTGGCACTGTTTTACTTCCCACTTATTTAACGCTCATTTCCTACTGCGTTATGCTGCTTCTGCTTGAACGCTGAAGGGCATTTCACAGTAACAGCAATTTTGTAAGAATTGACTGTTACTGAAAGCCGTCAGATCTCCGCTGTAACCAGCAAACGCTCAGCTTACGAGGTGATGATTACTGCTGCTTGCTGCTGAGACCACCCTCTGTTCTATAATCCTCGTAACAAGAAAAGTCTGGTTCAGTAGCAAAGGGTGCTGTGCAGATTGCTGCTGAGTATACCAGGAGGACTTTTGTTGTGGTTATGTAGCAGAAGCAAAATCTCCTGAAAGCTGCTAGTTTCCCTGGTGTGTTTACTGTCTCCATTGGAAACGAGTCTGACTTGTGAATATTCACCAGAAAGGGAGGAGAGACCCAACTGGACAGCTTCTGGGGCCTTGAACTCTATTTGGGGCAGAACTTGTTTGCTTAAAATAAGGTATTTCAACGAGTCTGTACTTTGAAAGGTCTTTGCTTCCAGATTTTAAAAAAAGGAGCAGCCAGAGATCATAAAAAAAACTTTTTTAAGTACTTAGAGATTTCTGCAGAAGGTATTAAGCAACTATGAGAAGTAGTTTTTAAGTAACTTTAAAGGGTTATTAGTATACAAAGTGAGAATTTTCAAAACAGTGTCCAAAATGTCAGTGTTTGTCTTTACAGTCAGCCTGTCGGGCTGTTGTGGTATGAAGTCGCTTCCTCAAGTATTTGTGACCTTGCAGGAAAATGGAGTATTTTAAGTATAAATTTCCTCTGAAATTCTTGACTGACTTGTTTTTGAGTAGTGTGGATTAGCTCCAGATGAATTCTGGCCTCTTGCTTCATCTTCCTGGTGAATGCTAATGAACTTTGAATCTACTTTTTTAGGGGTTTTTTGGCAAACTCATTTGCTTGCAGTATTGGGAAATACATGCTGAATTTGGCAAATAACTTCTTTTAAAATAGTTACAACTATACAACAATCCAATAACTTCATGTAGACATATTTGAGCAAGAAATACTTTTGTATTTGGAAAAATTGATCTGACTTTGAAGATTGCAATAACATAACTTAAGAAGAGGTAAACTGTCTCAAATTGCAATGTTTGCTTTGGGTTTGAATGAAATTTTAGTAGACTTATTGTTTGTTTGTTTTTCTGAGATAATTGAAACCTAAACAGTGTTTTTCATCTCTTTCAGCCAAAAAGCAAAAAAAAAAAAAAAGTCACGTATCCACACAGCATTATCATGAACTGAAGAAATGAGCTGTTTGCCAACCTGGCCTGATAGTCGTCTCTGTTCCTCTTGTGGAATCTGCTTGTCCTGCTGCATTCGTTCCAGGGTCCTCTCCAAGTTGGAGCATGTGCAGCTGGTTGGAGAATGGGGTTTTAGCAGCACCTAACTGCTTTAAAAGGAAGCTGAGGCACATTTGGAAAACCCAATGCATTAATCAGTGCACATGGGATTTTAGCTCCTGATCCGCTCAGGAAAGATTCCTGATGGGAAGTCTGGTCCTGTGCATGAAATGCTTTTTAATTCTTGTTTACAAAGTTCTTGTGTTATTTTAATTCTAATCCTTCCTTCAAGTCAATTTCTGAAAATTAAACATAATAATAAACTAAAAATGGTTATTGAGCTGAGTACATAGCTTCCAGATGACTACTTGTAGCCACTGAATAAACTGGATGGAAAGATTACAAGCAGGTGTTTGAAGTCGGTGCCATTGAGTGGTGTCTGCAAAGATGCAGGGGTTGTAACTGCCCAGGTTTTGATGCAGGGCTATGAAGTGCCTCTCAGAACGTCTTCCTGAAAGTGAACTCATAGTTCAAGCCAAATCTGTTGGTCTGAGACCCCACAGCCTCAGAAAAGAACGAAGTCTTAACTGATTAGGTCATCTTTAGGCTTTACACAAGAGTAAGCTATGAGTCTACATGCTGGTATTGGACAGCTGATGAGGTGGGATCATGGCTGTTTAAATAAGTTGGGTTTTAAAAAATATTGTAGTAAGATGACTTTATAATGTAGCTGTTGTTCCAAAACCAGATCACTAAGAGCTGATATTTTGAAAATTACCGCATTTTCTGTTGGGACCAGAAGTCATTGAGGGAGTGGTTCTGCACCGTTAAAGCACGTCAAGGTGAGTGCAAGGATGACACTCCTGGATGTTACTCTAGATTCCTCGCTGGATATGCTAGTAGCCCGTTCAGGCCTTTTACTAGATTAACAGCTCAGCGGAACTGCTGCAGATACTGAACTGTTTCCCTTCATATTACCATCCGCCAGTTTAGCATTTTATTTGTTCATTATGACAACTCGGGGTATTTAAGCAGGGCACTCATTTGAATTGGTACAACTGATTTACTTTGTCCTTCGTTTCATCCTGTAGTAGAATAGGTTGATGTTTATTGTGGCTTCGTGCCATATGTATCTATGTAAATTGATTATAGCATCTTTATTTTTTCTGGTTGGGGACGTGAAAAAAGTTATGAGTGTCACTGTATGAGATGGTGCCTTTGCTTAGGAGTTTGTTTTGGGATTAGTTTATCTGACAAGCGGTGTCGGTGCCCATCATTCTGAGGAAGAACTTGACTGAGGTTAATCTTTTGTTGTTGTCAGGCAAGTGATGGTATGCACTACAAATTCATCTGTGAAAAATATGTGAGTTATTTGGCCCTGTCAAAGGAAAAAGTGTCTAGAGAGGCTTTTTATGGAGGAAAAAGTTCAGGTGTTTAGACAAAACATTTTTATTTGACCACAAGAGGGTATTGCAGTATCAGTTATGCAAGACTTGAACTAGTGTTTCACTTTATATGCACTGCCTTATTTTTAAAATGCAGATTTCTGGAAACTGATTATTAAAGTTAAGCAGTAGTTAAGAAAATCAGGTCATGTATGTCTGTATTTGATGTCCTGGTACAGAGGCAATTTCTGAGCTGGTTTTTCTAAAAATTGTTTTATTTTTTCTAATAACAAGCTTCTTGATGCTTGAGAAGTTCTCATTGATTTCCCTGGAAGACAAGGACTTCAGAGGCTTATTCCAATACACTGAAAAACTTTACGGAAAATTCTTGGCAAGAATACATCAGTTACAGAAGGGAAATAGTAACAGGAGATGAGTGTGTTGTGGCTTTGGTTGGAAGTGCATGTTGGTCAAGGGTGGGCACTGTGAAAGTCAGTGAGACTCTGATCTGATTTTCCCATGTGGTCCTACTTGCAGGAATAAGGTCTGAAATCTTTTTTAGCTCATTCGTGTTTCCCAGACTTCCCCTTTACATCCAAGTCTTCCACAGTGTACATCCAATGTTGGTTTGGACTTTTTTCCCAAGTCAGTACTGTGTTGGGATACTTTCATACAAAAGTTATGTCTTATAAACTTTAAGGACTGTGTTGCCAAATGTTTATACTATGTGTTGTACAGTTCAGACCCTGGAAGAGGGAGCTAGAAGGATTTCTGGATTCTCCCACTCCTAGAACCACTGCTGAACTTAGGATAAGCTACATGGTATAGCTACCTGTCTCTCAACAAGCCCACCTGTCAAAGCAGAAGGAACACAGCTGTATCACATTATCTGTGAAGAACAAATTTCCAAGGGACAGCAAAGCAATTTTTGTACAAGAAAGTTTGTGTTTGTAAGATCCTGCAGAGATTTAAGGAACACACACATTTAAAAACACAGGTGCAGTGTATATGTCATGTGAATAAGACGCAGGAGCAAGATCGTCAGCTGGAGAAGAAGGCAACTCTTTAGACACCAGCTTTTCAGGGCAGGTCACCATGCGAAAGATCTCTGCGATTTCACTGGTATGAGCAGTGTTGCCTGCCTCTGAGTAGTGACATTTGCATTGTCATCATCACCTTCCTCAAATGAAACAAGATCAGTCAAGTCAGTCAAGACTGAAAGTTGGAATCAGTCATGGCAGTGGTTAGCAGAGTGGGGTGTTAGATGATGGGTGAGAGGACACCGAGCACCCAGCAGAGAAGTAATGGATGGCAGAGCATTGCTGCGGTGCTTTCTCACCAGCCCTGGGCAACTGGCAAGGGCCCTACAAAAGCCTGGAGGTGATAGATCCTGCTGACAGGCTGTGACTTGATCTGGCAGGAGCAGACTGCCTTGGGTCGCTGTATGCAGCCAAGATGGAAACAAATCCTGCAAACTGCCAGTTTGGAGTAAAACCCCTTCTAAACAAAGAAAACGTCGCCACTCAGCTAAAGGCCTCATTTGTCAAGTTTTGCTGTATCTTTGGTACAAAAATATAAACTTCTTTCTTGTCTCGATGGAGTTCTGCTGAGAGAGCCTGGCAAGTCGAGCGTCTGTTGCGTCGGCAGTGTACAAATCCCACTGAGGGAATGTCTGCTTCCAGTGACACAGAGTCTGACACTTCAAAATAAAATCAAAGCTGCAACGCAGACTGTAAGAAATCTGTTGTGATTTTTTTTTTGTCCCCTTCTTTTAACATAAATTCTAGCGTTACAAATATGTTAGCTACTGATATGCAGTTTGCTTTATTTGAAACAAAAATTATTTATTTGAAAAATTATTTATTTGAAAAAAAATTATTTGAAAAATATTACTTACTTGAAAAAAATATTAAACAGCAGCTATTCCATAGAATATGCAGGCCTGTTGCATTAGAGTCTTCTGCTCAAACCTGCTGCCTGATGGGGTTTCAGGGAGAGCACTACGGGACTGGTGTACGAGTAGGGATGTTTGGAAGTACCTGGTTTGAGGAGAAAGAACTATAAGAAGTGTTCCTCGCTGGCTGACTCTTGTGAATGATGTTTTCAGTTGGTATGTCATGTAATTTTGGTC